GGGAGGCATCCAAGCACCAGGCAGAATCTACTAACATCGATCAGGGAGCTTGCCAACTGGATGGGAGACTCAAAGGTCTGGGGATGCGAAACTGCTTTCAGGCTTGGAGGTATTCAAGCTTGAGGAATCATGAAGGAATGAAGGGATCCAAGGATGTCCTTAGGGGACGTGAATTACAGGGGTGGGGGCTCAGGATGCTGGATAGGTGTTCACTGAGAGAGCTGACACCAGCAGGGCGGAAATTCCAGGGGCAGGGGTAAGGACTGGGGCGGAGAGAGTAGTGCATGTGTCACCAAGGCTGCTGGCAGGGTTGGGGGTGTAGAGAGGATGCAGATATAAGGGAGGAACTCCAGCCACTGCATTGTCTGACACCTCAATGTACCCCTCTGGGAAGTGGGAGTGATGAGATATGCATGGTAAGATTGTCAAGAGAGTTCGGAACAAAGCTTCCAAATTGCTGGTGTTGTGCCTAGTCAAGCTATTTGGTAGCAGTGGAGGTGCTTATCTTTAATGTTGATTACAATCACACTATGGGAGAGCAAACCCTCACTTAGCTCTGCCCCACTGTGGATTCAAACCAATGCCCCTCTTAGCCTCGTCCATTTATGAATACAACCCAATTACCCAGCTGGGCGCAGTGGGTCACGCCTGTAATCCCAGCACCTTGGGAGGTGGAGGTGGACGGAGTTTGAGACCAGCCTGGCCAACATGATGAAAGCCTGTCTCTACCAAAACTACAGAAATTAGCCGGGCGTGGTGGTGGGTGCCTTTAGTCCCAGCTACTCGGGAGGCTGAAGCATGAGAATTGCTTGAACCCAGGAGATGGAGGTTGTAGTGAGCTGAGATCGCACCACTGCACTCCAGCCTGGGTGACAGAGCGAAACTCCACCTCAAAAACAATAATAATTATCAGCATCATTTTTAAAAAACCCAATTACCCCTTTTAGCCTCACGTCATTCAAGGATTAAGTCAATTTTTCTCACAGTCCCACCCAATTCATTAATTTAACAAAAGATTGTGTTTATTTATTTATTTATTTATTTATTAGAGACAAAGTCTTGCTACATTGGCTAGGCTGGTCTCAAAATTCTGGCCTTAGTGATCTTCTCACCTTGGCCTCCCAAAGTGCTGAAATTACAGGCGTGAGTCATCATGCCCAGCCTGTTTTCAGAATTTATATTTGATTTTTTTTTTTTTTTTTTTTTTTTTGAGGCGGAGTCTCGCTCTGTCGTCCAGGCTGGAGTGCAGTGGCCAGATCTCGGCTCACTGCAAGCTCCGCCTCCCGGGTTTACGCCATTCTCCTGCCTCAGCCTCCCGAGTAGCTGGGACTACAGGCGCCCGCCACCGCGCCCAGCTAGTTTTTTGTATTTTTTAGTAGAGACGGGGTTTCACTGTGTTAGCCAGGATGGTCTCGATCTCCTGACCTCGTGATCCGCCCGTCTCGGCCTCCCAAAGTGCTGGGATTACAGGCTTGAGCCACCGCACCCGGCCGATTTTTTAAAAGACAGGGTCTTACTCTGTCACTGAGAGTCGAGTGCAGTGGCATGATCATAGCTCATTGTAATCTTGAAGTCTTGGGCTTAAGTGATCCTCCTGTCTCAGTCTCCCAAGTAGCTGGGACTACAGGTGCATGCCACGACACCCGGCTATTTTAAGTTTTTAAGGGGTTGAGATATAATTGACTTCAATTTGATAGGTTTTGAATATGTTTATATCAGTGAAACAATCACTACAGTGAAGATACTGAACAGGCTGGGTGTGGTGGCTCACCTCTGTAATCCCAGCATATTGGGAGGCAGAGGTGGGAGGACTTTTTGAAGCCAGGAGTTTAAGACCAGCCTGGACAACATAGTGAGACCCCCCTACCCCAGTCTCTACAAAAATGTAAAAAATTTGCCGGGCATTGTGGCACATACGTGTAGTCCTATTTGTTCAGGAGGATCCCTTGAGCCCAGGAGTTTGAGGTTACAATGAGCTATGATTTGCCTGCAATCCAGCCTGCATGTCAGAATGTGACCCTGTCACTTAAAAAAAAAAAAAGAAAGAAAGAAAGAAAGAAAAGAAATACTGAGTATAACTATCTCTGCCAAAAGTTTTCTCCTGCCTTTTGTATTTCCTCTTTCCTGCCCTTTTGGCCCCCTCCCTCCAGGCAACCACTAATCCACTTTCTGTCACTGTATATCAGTTTGCATTTTATTAGATTTTTATATAAATGAAATCATATAGCATGTGCTTTTTTGGAGGGTGGGTCTGGCTTCTTTTACCATAATTATTTTTGAGATCCATCCAAATCCTTCATTGTTTTTTATTACTGAGTTGTATTCCCCTGTATGAGTATACCATAGTTTGTTAACTTATTCACCTACTTTTTTCATTGAAAATTGTTTTCTTTTTAAGAGATGGGGTCTCACTATGTTGCCCAGGCTGGTCTTGAACTCTTGGGCTGAAACAGTCCTCCTGCCTCCACCTCCAGCCTCCCAAAGTGCTGGGATTACAGGCATTAGCATTTTAAAAATAGAGACAATGTTTCTACGTTTTTAAAATAGAGACAATGGTTCACTATGTTGCCAAGGCTGGTCTCCAACTCCTGAGCTCAAGAGATCCTCCCACCTCAGCCTCCCAAAGTGCTGCAATTACTGGCCTCATTCAACTATTAATGGGCATTTGGGTTATTTCCAGTTTTTGGATATTAACAAATATTATGAACTGAATTGTGTCCACCCATAAATATGTATATATATTTTGTTGTTGTTTTGTTTTTTTGAGAGAAGTCTCACTCTTATCCCCCAGGTTTGAGTGCAATGGCTCGATCTCGGCTCACTGCAACCTCTGCCTCCCGGGTTCAAATGATTCTCCTGCCTCTGCCTCCCAAGTAGCTGGGATTAAGTCACCTGACACCACGCCTGGCTAATTTTTGTATATTTTAGTAGAGATGGGGTTTCGCTATGTTGGCCAGGCTGGTCTTGAACTCCTGAACTCAGGTGATTCACCCGCCTCAGCCTCCCAAGGTGCTGGGATTACAGGCGTGAGCCACTGTGCCCAGCCATAAATATATATATGTTAAAGCCCTAACCTCCAATGTGACTGTATCTGAAGATAGCTTCTTTAGGAGGCAATTAAGGCAAAATGAGGTCATTAAGGTGGAGCCCTAATCAGATAGGACTGTGGCCTTGTAAGAAACAGAAGAGAGAGATCTCTGCCTCTCTCTGTGTGTGTCTCTCTCATGCCTTTACTCTCCTTCACTCTCTTAATTCCATGTGAGGACACAGCAAGAAAGCAAGCATCTGCAAGCCGAAAGGAGAGACTTCAACAGGAAACAAATTAGCTACCACCTTGATCTTGGACTTTCCAGCTTCCAGAACTGTGAGAAACTTATGTCGTTTAAACCACCCAGTCTATGATATTTTGTTACAGTAGTTCTAAATGAATAAGACAAGAAATAAAGGTGCTATGAATATTTGTAAGACAAGGCTATGTAAATGTATGCTTTCTTTTAGATAAATGAGCAGGAGTGGAATGGCTGGCTCATATGTGTATGCTTAATTTTTAAAGACACTACCAAACTGTTTTCTAAAGTTGCAGGCTGGGCGCAGTGGCTCACACCTGTAATCCCAGCACTTTGGAAGGCCAAGGCGGGCCTTGCCTGTAATCCCAGCACTTTGGGGAGTTCGAGACGAGCCTGACCAACATGGAGAAAACCCCTCTGTACTAAAAATACAAAATTAGGGGGGCATAGTGGTGCCTGCCTGTAATCCCGGTTACTCAGGAGGCTGAGGCAGGAGAATCACTTGACCCTGGAGGCAGAGGTTGCAGTGAGCCCAGATCGCGCCATTGCACTCCAGCCTGGGCAACAAGAGCGAAACTCCGTCTCTAAATAAATAAATAAAGTTGCAATATCATTTTACATTTCCACCGGCGGTACAGGAGTTCCATTTCCTTCATATCTTCAGCAACGGTTGGTATAGTCAGGCTTTTAAATTCTAACTAGGACCTTCAGCTGACAGAGTGCAGTGCCTGCAGCAGAGTGAGGCCAAGCACTCCTGCTGGCTCCCACAGCCAGGCCTCCTTGCTGGCCGCCAGGTAGGTCATCGCACGGGTCCAGGAGCCAGACACGGGACCTGCCAGCCTCAGCCTCCAGGACCTGGGCGGGCCGCCAGGTGAGCGCGCCCCAGAGCTCAAAATTCGTAGCTGGCTGCCCTGTGTCCACCCGGCGGACTACTGGCCATGGAGCCGCGCACAGGGGACGCCGCGGACCCTAGGGGCAGCAGAGGAGGTACAAGGATCAGAGGTGTTGGGGAAGGACAGGGCGAGTCGCCGCCACCTCGTCCCGCCTGTCTGCTCCACACCTTTTCCTTCTGACAGGTGGTAAACAGAGCGGCTCTGGCGCCTAAGTGGCGGTGGCAGGGGGAAGGGGCCCAGCGATGGAGGCTGGGCTCGAGGTCCCCCACCCACACGCACACCTGAGCGAAAGGGCCGCTCACCAGAGCAGGGGAGGCGGCTCTCAGAAGTCTCCAGGGAGATGTGCAGATGTGCGGGGAGGGGTCTGCCCGTGGTCACTGGGGACACCTGGGCACTCAGGGTCTGTAGTGAACTGGGAGGAGGGGAACTGGGGTCCCCTGGGGACCTGTGGAGGGGGACTCTGGAGGTACGTGGGCCATGGGGGAACAGGCCCTCTGAGGGAATTCATGGGGGTAGCAGGGGTTGCTTAGGATACTTAGAGGGAGAATTGGGGGTTCCGGGGCTACGGGGTCAGGCCGTGTTCTCCCAGGATATCTGGGGAAACGGGGTCCCCTGAGATATCGTGGGCGAGGAGTTGGGCATCCAGGGTGATTGGGGGCAGTCGAGGACCTCACATGGTGTTCGGAGGTGTCCAGGACTATTGCAGTCAAACAGCGATCTCCAGGGACACCGTGGGAGCAGGCGGGGGTGCACCGGCTACCCGCGATGGTAGGGGATCGCGTGAGAAGGGAGGGACAGCAGTGACCTCCGGAACTAACGAGGGAGTGGTCAGGGGTCGCCGGGTATCCTGAGGGCATTTCTAGGTCTTCGGGCGTCCGGAAGCATGGGGGTTGGCCGAGGCCGAGGGTCGGCGTTGACCTGTCCCCTCTCCCGCGCAGGCCGCGGCCCCTCCCGGCTCGCCGGCCCCAGCGCCCGGCAGCTCCTGGCGCGGCTGGACGCGCGCCCCCTGGCGGCGCGAGCTGCGGTCGATGTGGCGGCGCTGGTACGCAGGGCGGGCGCCACATTGCGCCTGCGCCGGAAGGAGGGTGCGTGACGGGCGCGGGGCCTCCGCTAGGGGAGGGTTCGGAGAGGAGCTGGGTTCAGAGGGGCAGGCCTGGGCGGTCAGCAACTACTGCCTTGCCTTGGGTGGGGCCAAGGGGCGCGATTTGGGGGGCGGGGATAGGAGGGTGCTTCGAGTGGGAGGAGCCTTGGGGTTATTCTAGAATATTCCTTGAGGGTTATCACAGTAGGCAAGGGCTGCATTAGTTGAGAGTGCGGAGGTGGATCCCCGTTCTGGCCGGCGGGGCTTCGAGGGTCCTTTATGGGGAGGCGGGGCCTGGGGAGTGCTTGAGGGGTGGAGACGCAGCGAAGGGGCAGGCCTGAAATGTGAGTCACGGGGGTGGCGCCTATTGTGCCATGGGGGCGGGGCTTGAGATGTCTGGAACGGGATGTGGGTTAGAGGCTAATTAGAGGGCTTGCTATGGAAGGTTCAGGAGCCGAATTTTGGAGTAGCATTCTCCAGGGTGGGCCGAATGGTGTTACTTGAGGGATGTGTTTTGCGTGTTATTAGAGGGAGATAGGAAGGCCTGGAAGATTATTCACATGGCTGAGCCCAGGATTGTTTGTTAAGACGGTGGGGTCAGAACAGTTATTGTTTGGGCTGAGAGCCTTTAAGATTACTTGAGGGGATGGTGCGTAGTTAAATGGTGGGCCAGTTTGTATATGAGCTGCAGGGGCGAGGCAAGTAGATGGGGCTAGAATGTTAACTCAGGGAACAGGTCCTAGGTAGTTTCCATGGCATGTCCCCCCACAGCCCTCTCCACCGCTTTTATCCCCCAGTTGTTAGCGTGCTGGACTCTGCGGACATAGAGGTCACAGATAGTCGCCTGCCTCATGCCACTATTGTGGATCACCGGCCCCAGGTAACATCTTATCCTTCTATTGGAGGCAACCTGCCTCAGGGCAAACTATGTACACCAGTGTCCTTTATTCCAGCACCGTTGGTTAGAGACACGTAATGCGCCTCCCCAAGTGATCCAGGGTAAGGCACGTAGTGCTCCGAAGCCATCCCAGGCCTCTGGTCATTTCTCTGTGGAGCTGGTCCGCGGTTACGCAGGCTTTGGCCTCACCTTAGGTGGGGGCCGGGATGTTTCTGGGGACACTCCACTGGCCGTGCGCGGGCTGCTGAAGGATGGTCCAGCACAGCGCTGTGGTCGTTTGGAGGTGAGCCCTGAAGACTCTTCCATTGGTAGGTGCTATCCCTGCCTTTGTTTGGGTGCTCTCCTTTTGCTTTTCCAACACGACTGCATTGCACTCTTCCAGGTCGGGGACCTTGTGCTCCACATCAACGGAGAGTCAACGCAGGGCCTCACCCATGCCCAGGCCGTGGAGCGGATCCGAGCTGGAGGCCCCCAGCTCCACCTGGTTCTTCGACGGCCTCTGGAGACCCACCCTGGCAAGTCTCGAGGGGTGGGAGAGCCCCAAAAAGGAGTTGGTGGGTTTCCCAGGGGAGAGAAGTCAGAGATCAGTGAGGAGAAGAGAGAGGTTCACAGAGTGGAGAGGCTGAGATTCTGGGTGGGAAGGGTTTGGTGGTCTCTGTGGGGAGGGTCTGCAAGAGGTCATGGTATTCTCACAAGTAGGGGCAGGGAGGGGCACAGGGTCCCAGGATAGGAATAAAGCAGGGGCAGGGAGGGGTGTCAGTCCCAAGGATAGGAATTTCAGAGGGTGGGCTTTCCAGGTACTGGGGAGAGAGAAGGGAAGGGGTCTAGGATAAAAGCAAGTGTTTGGAAGGAAGGGTCTTAGTTCTCAGAGGGGAAGGCAGAGTGGATCTTAGCCTTCTGATCCACTAGAGCGGGGGGGCGGGGGACTGGATGGGGATCCAGAGGGTAGGGGGGTCTAGTTCTGAAAAACAAAGGGTTGGTGGTTTGGGAGTCAACGGAGGTGGGATGAGAGAGGAGAGAGCAAGGGATCCTAGATGAGAGGCGTTTGATTTCCTTTGGAGATTGTGGGAAATGATTTCTGAGGGGCATGTTCTGGATCCAGGAGGGGAGGGGTCTCGGGAAAGGAGGTGTCGGGGTTGTGAGGGGTGGTGCCGATCCCAGAAGGCCTCGAGGGGAGATTTCTCTAAGGGCCAGGGTCTCATCTCCCGCAGCCTTTGGGTTCTCCTGTCCACCCTCCGCCAAAGGCCCGGATTTCCCTTCCCTACTTCACCACCCAATCTAATCCGTAGTCCCGTCATGGCTAGATCGCAGCCCAGATCCTGGAGGGCCGGAGGTAACGGGGTGTCGCAGCAGCAGCAGCACTTCCCCAGTTCAGCACCCTCCATCCCGGACGACGCTCAAGAAGACCCGGGGCAGCCCAGAGCCTAGTCCAGAGGCGGTCGCCGATGGCGCCACGGTTTCTCCTCCTGAGCGCTGCACTGAGGATCCCAACGACCAGATCCCGGGTTCCCCGGGGCCCTGGCTAGTGCCCAGCGAGGAACGGCTCTCGCGGGCCCTAGGGGTCCGGGGGGCAGCGCAGCTCGCTCAGGAGATGGCAGCCGGAAGGCGGAGGCACTGAGCCTACCTCTGACGGCGCGGGGCTCACTAGTTACCGCCCAACCTGGATCCGGCCCGTGTGGCCGCCGGGCACTTGGCACTTCCCCGAGAGCTTCCACTTGGTCTGGTCCCCCCTCCCGCTGCGCAGTGGCTCTGCCCGCACTCCCCTTGCAGCGTCAGTGGTACGACCCTTCCAGCCCGGCTAGCCTGCGCTTCTGGTTCTGGGAGGGAGAGGTAATAAAATGGTTCGATCTGGTCTTGATTTGCCAGGCGCTCGAGGCGGGGTGGGGCTGCCCAGGCCACTCTGTAAAGGAGCAGGTGGGTTGATCCTGCTTCGAGTAATCGCTAACTAGCTTCATGCTGCTGCTTTCCTGCTTGCACATGATCTTTGCTTCCGCTGGTCCTCAGCTTGGCGTGGTTTCTTTTTCTCTTCCCCGTCTCCTGCTCCTCTCCTTATTCATCAATTTCACCTTTTTGGAGGTGTACAGGGTCTTACACATAAATTATTGTTCATGGCATGGAGAATGCAGAGGTGAGCCTGTCGTGGCGGGACTGCACCAATGTATCCACAGTCCTGTCTCGGAATCATCCAGACCCTCAACTGACGTCGGGATAGCAAGGCTAGAAGCCTAGAAGCAGGGCGGCTTCCTTCGCCAGGGACCTCTGGTCTCCCACTTCCGGCCTAGTCTGCCAACTTTTGCTGGCACGTAGGCTACCACTCTCTGGGCATCGGCTGGGGCCCTGGATCCCCCTTTGGGGCGGAGCGGGAAAGGTGTGAGTCAGCGCCCCTGGGCGGGCCGGGCTAAAAAAGGTTGTTAGAACCTTTGGGCCGTGCCCCCATTTTCCGTACATGGTGAAGAACTGCAGCCGGGCTTGTGTGCACTCGCCACATACTGGGCGTTCCCCGCACGGGAGAGGCCCAGAGTTTCCTTCACCCTGCGAACAGAGCCCCGCAGCCAGGGCTTATATGGCCAGCGGGACTCCAACCGGGGTAGCTGCGAGGAAGGCACTGGCAGAGGACAGAAATGTCCAGTCACCTCCGCTGTCACCACATCCTGAGCACTCAGCCCCATCCCCCCACCCAGGAGGGAAGCTGTGGTCTGACGGAATAGACAACTTTCGCCCCTGTGGGGAGGGGACGGGGAAGGAAGAAATAATTTAAAGGATCCCAGTGCGAGAGTCCAGGTGGCCTTGGAGAGGAAAGAGGAACGGCGAAGACAAGCTGTGAGAGCTGGGAGCTGGAGAGTGAAGAGGTGAACACTTGAGTGGTTAGAGCTGTAGGCAGACATTGTGGGGAAGTGTGCCAGGGTGGCTTCCAGCTACCCCTGACTTAGAGCCTGGTGGAGATGTGGTTCTTCAGAAGTTAGCATAGGGCTCAAGAGCCCCAGTCCTATAAATACAGTCACACCCAAGAGACTAATAATAGTAACCCCGGCCACCATGTACTTAGTTTTATCCCTGCTACTGGCTCTATTGCAATATTTATTTTCATCTACAATAGTTGCACATCTACTCAACGATCCGAATATGTCCATTTCACAGAGGAGGAAAGTGAGGCCCAGGGAGTGCAGATAGCTTGAGAGAGGAGGATCAAAGCAAGATTTAATCAAGGCCTGATTTCCCAAGTCTGTCCTCTTAATTTCACCTGCACTGAAACCCAACTGTATACATTGCACTGTGCTAGGTACTGTGGAGATGCTGGAGGAACAAGACATACAATTTGTCTTTGTGTAGCTGATGTATGTAATGAGGGTAGACAGATGTCAGACAAAAAAGACAAGAAAATGAATAACTAAAAAACCAGGCCAGTCGTGGTGGCTCACACCTGTAATCCCAGCACTTTGGGAGGCTAAGGCTGGTGGATCATAAGGTCAAGAGTTCAAGAGCAGCCTGGCCAAGATGGTGAAACACCATCTCTACTGAAAATGCAAAAATTAGCCGGGTGTGGTGGCAGGTGCTTGTAATCCCAGCTACTCGGGAGGCTGAGGCAGAGAATTGCTTGAACCCAGGAGGTGGAGGTTGCAGTGAGTCAAGATCACGCCACTGCACCCCAGCCTGGGTGACAGAGCGAGAATCTGTCTCTAATAATAATAATAATAATAATAATAATAACCAGACATGGTGGTTTGTGCCTGTAATCCCAGTACTGTGGGAAGCTGAGGCGAGTGGATTGTTTGAGCCTACGAGTTTGATACCAGCCTGGGCAACGTAGAGAGACCTCGTCTCTACAAAAAGCTTAAAAATTATCTGGGAGTGGTGGCTCATGCCTGTAGTCCCAACTACTTGGGACTCTGAGGTAGGAGGATCGCTTGAGCCCGGGAGGTCAAGGCTGCAGTGAGCCATGACTGCACCACTCCACTCTAGCTGGAATGGCAGTGAGACCTTATCTCAAAAAAAAAAAAAAAAAAAAAAAAAAAGGCCAGGCATGTGGCTCACGCCTGTAATCCCAACATTTTGGGAGGCCGAGGCAGGTGGATCACCTGAGATTGGGAGTTCAAGACTAGCCTGACCAACATGGAGAAACCCCGTCTCTACTAAAAATACAAAATTAGCTGGGTGTGGTGGCGCATGCCTGTAATCCCAGCTACTCAGGAGCCTGAGACGGGAGAATCGCTTGAACCCGGGAGATGGAGGTTGCAGTGAGCTGAGATCATGCCATTACACTCCAGCCTGGGCAACAAGAGCGAAACTCCTTCTCAAAAAAAAAAAAAAAAAAAAAAAAAAAAAAAAAAAAAAAAAAAAAAAACCTTCAGAGAGAAGTGAGAGTCATGAAGCTATGAAGCTAGCAAAAGGAGGTTATATTGTGGGAGATGATGGTGGGCTTCTGGCCTCTGAAAACATAACTCTTGAGCTGGAACCTGGATGACTAGAAGCCAGGTATATGAAGCACTGAGTGAAGGGCATTGACAACAGAGGGAATAGCAAGTGCAAAGGCGTTGAAGCGGAACCAGGTTTGTCTTGTTTCAGAAATTCAGACGTGTCCTCGCAGAGTTGGCAAGCACATACTTATCACTGGGAAAAATATGTTTCATCCCTTCCACTATTCACTCACTCTTCAGCCAAGCGGGGCTGAAAGAGGGGAGGTCTTTCCTTAGTTTTGAGGGGCCTTGTGTTGGCAGAGAGAGCAGGCAGGCCCTTGGGTTGAATCCTCCTGGCCATCCAGTTATGATTCTCCCCCACATCAAATGAGATGAGAATAAAAACAACATCTAGTCTGGAGAGTGTGTCCCTCAGGGTAACTCCGGGTTCCTGATTCCAGGAGACCAGATGCATGTCTTAAATGCAGAAATTAAGGCTGAGCTGGGGGAAATTACTTGCTCAAAATAACACACTTAGCCAGGTGCGGTGGTTCACACCTGTAATCTCAACACTTTGGGAGGCCAAGGCGGAAGGATTGCTTGAGATCAGGAGTTCAAGACCAGCCTGAGCAACATAGTGAGACCTTGTCTCTACTAAAAAATAAATAAATACAAACAAAGTGTCTACAAATGTCACTCAGCCTTGCACCCCAGGAGCCATCCATTAATCTTGCCAGTCCCCCAGAAATAAACTTTCCTATTCCTCATGTACAATTGTGCTGACTGGCCCCTCTCTTCAGAACCAGGAAACTGAAGGCCAACATTTAGGGCTAGGACTTCCTTGGGATTGCAGAACACAGAATCAGACCTTGGGCTCTCTGGGCTCTAACACTATTACAAAAAATGTTTTTTTAAATAGAGACAAGCTCTCACTACGTTGCCCAGACTGGTCTCAAACTCCTGAGCTGAAGTGATTCTCCCACCTCGGTCTCCCAAAGTGCTAGGATTACAGGCATGAGCCACTGCTTCCGGCCTCGGGCTCTAACACTAGAAACAATGCTTGCCCTATTTCTGAGCAACTCAGTGCTCACCAATCCCTGTTCTCACACAGCCTTTACACTGGCAGGGTCTTATCCTCATCACTGCTCAGAGGTTTATTCCACTGTCCGCAATCCATTATCCAAAACTCTGGAGAACAAAAAGCCCTGGAAACCGATGGTTTTCCCACAAGATAGACACTATTTGGTTGCAAAACCTGACCTGATCTAATGAGGAACAATTTTCTTTCTTTCTTTCTGTTTTTCCTTTTTTGGAGACAGGGTCTTACTCTGTTGCCGAGGCGGGAGTGCAGTGGTCTGATCATGGTTCACTGCAGCCTTGAACTCCCGGGCTCAAGCAACCCTCCCACCTCAGCCTCCCGAGTAGTTGGGATTACAAGCACGCGCCACAATGCCTGGGCTATTTTTTTTTTTCTTTTTTTCTTCCTTTTTTTTTTTTTTTTGAAATGGAGTCTTGCTCTGTCACCCAGGCTGGAGTGCAGTGGCGCAATCTCTGCTCACTATAACCTCCACCTCCCGGGTTCAAGCAATTCTCCTGCCTCAGCCTCCTGACTAGCTGGGATTATAGGCGCGAACCACCACACCCGGCTCATTTTTTGGTGTGTTTTTAGTAGAGGTGGGGTTTCACCATGTTGGTCAGGCTGGTCTCGAACTCCTGACCTCATGATCTGCCTGCCTCGGCCTCCCAAAGTGCTGGGATTACAGGCGTGAGCCACTGTGCCCGGCCGCCTGGGCTAATTTTTAAAATTATTTGTAGAAACAGGGTCTCACTATGTTGCCAAGGTTGATCTCTAACTCCTGGGCTCAAGCGATCCTCCTGCCTGAGCCTCCCAGAGTGTTGGGATTACTGTCATGAGCCACTGTGCCCAGCGGAGGAACACTTTTCAATCCTTACCCAGTTATTGTGAACATTCATAACTTTTTCTTGAAGACATACCATTTTGTTTCTTTGTTTGCTTTTGCTTTTTGTTTTTGTTTTTTTTTGAGATGGAGTTTCACTCTTGTTGCCCAGGCTGGAGTGCAATGGCGTGATCTTGGCTCACCGCAACCTCTGCCTCCCAGGTTCAAGCGATTCTCCTGCCTCAGCCTTCAAAGTAGCTGGGATTACAGGCATGCATCACCATGTCCGGCTAATTTTTGTATTTTTAGTAGAAAAGGGGTTTCTCCATGTTGGTCAGGCTGGTTTCGAACTCCCGACCTCAGGTGATCCACCCGCCTCAGCCTCCCAAAGTGTTGGGATTATAGGCATGAGCCACCGCGCCTGGCCTTTTTTTTTTTTTTTTTTTTTTTTTTTAAACGCGACAGCTCCAAACCCTGCTGAGAGTATATGCACGGGAAAACTTTCTGAAATCAAAAATATTCTGAATTCTGGCAACATACTGGGCCACAGGTCTTTCGGATTTAACTCTGCCTAGGCCGTTTTATTCCGTTAAGGAAACTGAGTCACTCCCTCCCAAAGCCAGATTCCCGCGGTTCTCAGCTGAAGCTGTCTCGGGTGCATTTGCATTCCAAAAAGGCGAGGGGTCCCTCTATTACTACTCCTGGTACCTGGAGCTGCCAAGCACCCTGGCGATGGGGCGCCTCGGGGGCTGTGCGCCGGGCTGGGAGTATCCTTGGCGGGCGGGGCGAGGGGGCTTCCGGGGCGGCAGCCACCTGGCCCGGCTCCGGCCCCGCCCGCGTCATCTCTGCGCGGTGATTCACTCCCTCCTTCGCCCCGGGGCCCCCTTCCCGGCCAGACGGCGGGCAAGACAGCTGGGTGTGCAGCGTCCTCGAAACCACGAGCAAGCGAGCAGATCCTCCGAGGCACCACGGACTCCAGCCCATGCCATGGCGGATTCTGAGCGCCTCTCGGCCCCTGGCTGCTGGGCCGCCTGCACCAACTTCTCGCGCACCCGAAAGGGAATCCTCCTGTTTGCTGAGATTGTGAGCGACCTGGGGCAGGCGCGTGGGCAAAAGCGGGATGGGGTGGCTGGACCACGCGGAACTGGATGGTCCGGGTGAGGCGGGCACTTGGCCGGGGCGCTCGGCAGTGGGGTGCAGGTGGGTGGGTTCAAGGTGAAGGCCCGAAACCCGGGGCGCAGGGCGAGTCGGTGGGGTTTGACGAAGGTTGTTGAGATCTGGTAGCCCCCGGGGTGAGGCAAGGAGCCTATAATGCATACGGAGGGCTACGCGGGGGGAGCTGCGTTTCATCAGTGGACTCATCGAAGGGGTCCCAGGGTGCTGGGAAGTCGGGGCCTCCTGCGGCAGGGCGTGGCGCGGCCTGGACACAGGAGGGCGGGCTGGCAGCGCGCCCAGGGGCAGGGCCTGTTGGGGTGGGGCCCCCCCACGCGCTAGTCCCGCGGTGTAGAGGGCCCCGCCCTTCGCCAGTTCTTCCTTGCCCTTCTGAGGCCGGGCGGGATGTCCTTAGCTTTTCGGGGTTTCCACCCTTCTCAAAGTGGGCGCCGCCTTTGAGTCACTTGTAAAAGGGGTGCGGCGCCTTTAACGGAGTCCTGCCTCTCTGGTGTCACTCTCACCGCTTCCCAAAGGGGTTGCTGGGGGAACCGCGTGTTCAGCCCGGGTCAAGGCCACAAAGCCGGCGTCAGCGGGGCTCACAAAACACCTGGCAGCGCCACTCCCCTCAGGCTGCCCATATCCTAGAAGGGAAAAGGGGAGGAAACTGAGGCACCCAACTCTACTTCTTACTTGCTGGGTGACCCTGGCCAAGCCATTAAACCTCTCTGCACCTCAGTTTTCTCATGTATAAATTAGAGAGAGTAATAATAGTACCCAGAACATTAGATTGTCGTGATGATTGAATTTGGAACACAGTGAGCACATAAAAAGTGTTTAGCTATTATTGCGTGTCATTTCCCCAGCGCTCATAGTCATTCGAGTACGGGACTCCTAATTTAAACCAATCTCCTCAGCCCTGGTTGCTGATTGAGGTCCCCTTTCCCATGTCACCCTTCCAGATATTATGCCTGGTGATCCTGATCTGCTTCAGTGCCTCCACACCAGGCTACTCCTCCTTGTCGGTGGTTGAGATGATCCTTGCTGCTATTTTCTTTGTTGTCTACATGTGTGACCTGCACACCAAGATACCATTCATCAACTGGCCTTGGAGTGTGAGAAGGGGTCCACAATGGCAAGGCCAGGGAGGGGTCTGGGCAGTTAGGATTGTCTGGGAACTGTGGATGCTGACTTCCCTCTTCTCCCTACACCTCACAGGATTTCTTCCGAACCCTCATAGCGGCAATCCTCTACCTGATCACCTCCATTGTTGTCCTTGTTGAGAGAGGAAACCACTCCAAAATCGTCGCAGGGGTAAAGGCCATGGGAGCAGCTCTGAAGCACAGAGGGAAGGGTTTGAGGAGCCAGGGGCCATTTCTGCCTTAGTTTCCAGCAGAAATCGTGTGGCCCACAGCAAGTCACACTTGTCCTCAGGGCATGGAGGGAAGTTTGGCACAGGACTTGCTTTTGCCTCCCAAGGTCTTCATTTGCTGTGAAGGGCAGTCCCTTGTCAGACACAAGGACCTTGGTGAGAAGTACAAACAGGTGGTGCCTTTGTCAACGCACTGGACTACCATCTGCAAGAACTTTGTCCCAAATGTAGTAGGAATTGGGGCTGGGCGCAGTGGCTTATGCCTGTATTCCCAGAACTTTGGGAGGCTGAGGCTGAGGCAGGCAGATCACTTGAGGTCAGGAGTTCAAGACTAGCCTGGCCAACATGTCGAAACCCCGTCTCTACTAAAAATACAAAAAGTAGCTGGGTGTGGTGGCAGGTGCCTGTAGTCCCAGCTACTCAGGAGGCTGAGGCAGGAGAATCACTTGAACCCAGGAGACAAAGCTTGCAGCGAGTCAAGATCATGTCACTGCACTCCAGCCTGGGTGACAGATGGGTGACAGAGTGCGACTGTGTCTTAAAAAAAAAAAGTATGAATTGAATTGTGCCCCCTACGTGTAAGGCCACAGTGTGGCCTCCCTGTGTTGAGGGGTATAGGAGGAGGGAGAGTGGGGTAGGATGCATTCTCTTGGCCTTTCCCTGGGGTTCTTTGGCTTCCCAATCTGGGGCTTGAGTCCCGTCCTGTATGGGTCAGGTGCTGGAGGTGGTAGATGCAAGAAGATAAGAGACTGAGTAACCTGACTACCTAATCTAACCTTCCTCACTCCTATCCTGTCCCCCAGGTACTGGGCCTAATCGCTACGTGCCTCTTTGGCTATGATGCCTATGTCACCTTCCCCTTTCGGCAGCCAAGACATACAGCAGCCCCCACTGGTAAGGGTGTATGTGTGTTGGTTGGGGGTAAGGGGGTTGCTGAGAGGGCAGAGGAGAAAAGGAAAGGGATCTCTTAAAGGCATGAATGCCAACTCTGGTCCCGTATTGGTACTGATGGCTTTTGTACCAGTAGGTACCATAAGCTTCAGTATTCTTGTGTGTAAAATGTTCATGGACTTTGGATCTTGTTTTTAAACAATGGGCATATAGATTCAACCAATGCTTTCTCTCTTTTCCTCACCTGCAGACCCCGCAGATGGCCCGGTGTAGGCGAGCTCCCTTCATTTCTCTCTGCAATCTGCAAATAACTCCTCCATTGAAATAACTCCTCCCCACCCCAACAACAATATTCCCAGCCAACCAACTCCCACCCCCTCATAGAGGTAAAAGTGCCTTAATTGGGAGACTTTTGTCTTCCAGCCTGCCAATCAACCCTCCTGGGTGTGGCCACCATACGCCTGTGCCTAGGTCCTCCTTCTGCAGGATCCAATAGGAGACACCAGTTCTGCCTGAACCATGCCCCCACCTAAGTCACAAAATGAGGGAAGGGGGGAGTTAGATTTCAGAGTCCAGTCCCCAGGTTGGGACCCACTCCAAATAATCTCGGTGTGGGTGGTGGTTCTGTAGAGGGATAAATGAATAATAAACATTGTTAAAATATATGATAATGAATACAGTAATCCTTTCATCAAATGTGGATAAATTTCAAGCATCAGGAGGGGGAAATGGAGTGGAAACAGCTGGGGCAAGGAGGCAAAGAAGCCAGGCCTGTTTTACAACAAATATTAAATTACTTCGATAATACAAACGAAAGTCCTGGTGCGGTGGCTCATGCCTGTAATCCCAGTCCTTTGGGAGGCAGCGGGAGGATTGCTTGAGCTCAGGAGTTCTAGACCAGCCTGGGCTGCATGGCGAAATCCCATCTCTACCAAAAAATTAAAAAATTAGCTGGCACGCTGACACCAGCCAGGAGTCCCAGCTACCTGGGAGGCTGAGGTGGGAGGATCACTTAAGCCCAAAACTTTTGAGGCTGCAGTGAGCCGTGATCATACCACTGCACTCCAACCTGGGCAATAGAGCAGATCATGTCTCTAAAACAGAAACAAAAATAGAAACAAACAGACAAAGGAGGGAGGAAGAGGATTTATGACTTGGGTTGTGGGGGTGGGGCGTGGGGGTGAGGGGCATGGGCCTCATCGTCTACTCTGACTGGAGAATGGAGCCCCCTCCAGGAAGGCCTGCCTTCAAGCCACGATGCAGTTCTTGTCTCGGGTCTGTCGGGTCTGTCGAGGCATCCCTGGGCGAGAGTCCCTGGGGAGTGATAAAGATGGGGAGTTGAAGGTCTCCGTTGCATTGTCCTGAGCAGGCATGGGCCTGCACAAATGCGGGGGCAGAGGGATGCGCTCTCCTAGGAAGAAGCCATCATCCTCTGAGGATTCGGAACTGGAGCTGGAGGGCGAGCTGGAGCAAGATCCCGAGTCTGACCCTGATCCCGCGTCACACTGATAGTGGAGACGTCTGCTTGGGTGGCGGTGGTGGTGGTGATGGTGATGGTGATTATGACGGTGGTGGTGACGGCTGGGGGCCCTGGGTGGGGGACTGCGTGGCCTGCGGCGCTGGGCCGGGGGTGCACTCAGGGTCCGGCGCGGACCTCCTTCAGACACGAGAGGGTCGCGGAAGCTGACGCGTGGGGTGCTCTGGCGACCGAAGGCACTATCATCTGGGCGCAGGTTAGGCTGGCCGGGGGACTCTGGGGGCGGCTCGGGGGCACTGCGGAGCCCCAGCTCCGGCATGGAGTGGCGGTGGGGAGCCCCTCTCAGAAAGCGGGAAGGCTCCTCGGGGCCTGTAGCTGTTAAGGGGGAGACAGAGCGACTCCTTGTATCTGCCCTCCCACTGGCCCCCTTCTGAGGGGAGGCCTGCGAAAGGGCTTTCTTTCCTCCACTAAGACTGGGAAAGTGGGGGCAGGGGTCGGAGAAGGGCAGGGAGGTGGGGAGTCTGGGAAGTGTGAGGCCTGGAGCAGGCTCTGGGTGGAGAGAGGGTTGGAAGGAAGAACACGGAGCAAGATGGGACTGGTGTGGGGGGCGTGGCCAGGGCACGGGGCGTGGCCAGGACACCGAGGGTGCCTTCGGATGGAAGCGGTGTGGCATAGTTTGGAGTAAATTTGGTTTGCGATAAATGGAGTGGGGCCTGACTGCAGAGGATGAAGAGTGACCAGCTGAAGAAGAGGAAGAGGAACTTGGGGTCAAGCAGAGACAAGTTGAGGTAGGGGACCGGCCCTGTATTGACAGGGTGGAACCAGGGTTCACGAGGCAGGTGTAGTTTGGGATGGAGACCAGACCTGGAATGGTGTGGGGAAGGAGGATGAGCTGAGAAATGGGCAGGGCCCAGGGATGCAGCAGGTGAAGGGTCTGGGCGAGTCAAGGAGGAAGGGCCAGGGTTGAGGCAGGGGCAAGGAGGTAGGGTTGACTGGGCTGTGGCTGGGTGTGGCTGGAGGGTTAGCTCACCTGGCGCTGACTCCGTGCAGGTGCCTTTGGTGGTGGTCTCTGATGCCCCCTCTGCAGCAGAGAAAGAGGCTGTGGAGGCTGCAAGTGGGGCTGTAACAGTGCCGGCACTCCAGCTGCGGCGGCCGGGTCCTGGAGCCGTGGGCTCGGACACAAGGCTGCAGGCTCGAGAGCAGAAGATTAGGCCTCGGCGTGGCAGGAATGGACGGCCCAGCAGGGCCCGCCCACAGCGACTACAGCAGAAGCAGCGGTCTGAGGCATGCCAGTGCTGGCCCTCGTAAGCCATCTGGCCTTGGTCCAGGCCTGTGGGGAACCACCAGGGGGAAAAACTGAGGCAGAACCCCCAGGCATACCACCACCTCTCATGAATGAGTCCCTTCTCAGGAAGAGGTGGAGAATCCCAGGCAGGGCACCCCTAGGTGCCTTCCTCCCTCCTCCAGAATGGGGCCCTTTTGGAGAAAGCAGGAAACAGGTTTTGGTTCTCTCCTGGAGACTGGCTGGTGAACCTCTCTCTCACTCCTCCCTTTCTTTCACAGGGTGCTCTCTCCCAGAGCGGGGTGGGCATTGGACTCTAAGATTCGGGCAAGGCTTAGACATTAAGGGGTGGCTCCAGGCGGAAGGAGAATGGAAGGCTTGGCCTGAAGAGGAGGTTTGGCTGGTAGGGGCAGGGCTTAACAGGTGGGGAGTGGCCCTAGTGAGCAAGGAGTGGTTCTCAGAGGGTAGGGTGTAGCTGGAAGCTAGGTCTGACCTAGGCTGATACAGGAGAGTGGAGGAGAACCGGGCACAGCTTGGGGTGGTGGAGGCTAGGGGTAGGGGGAGCCCTGGGGCCGGAATTAGAGCACGAGCACCCTCTGGAGGTGGGTGTAGACATGTGGTGGTGGCCTAGCATTGTGTAGGTGGGGTTTAGAAAGCATGGCATAGTGGGGACATTGGGAGTGGGACTTGCAGCCAAGCATACAGGCCTATAGTGTTGGGGCTGGACAAAGTACAGGGCACAGTGGAGGATGGGGCCTGGAGGACAGGAGGAGTCCTGGTGGGGTAGGGCTGTGGCCCAGCTGTCCATCCATCCCTCTGTCCAGTCCCACTGCATTCACCCACCGATGTGCTCCCCACAGCCATCACAGTACTCCGCATGGCGGGCCTCATAGCAGGCACAGCAGTGGGGGCGGCTCTGACGCATGACGTAGCGCTGCCCTCCTAGCGAAGCTTCACACTCAAAGCAGCAGAAGTGATCCATGTGCCAGTGGCGGCCCTCAGCCTCCGTGCACTCAGGGGAGAAGATGATCTGGGGGACGCAGGCCATCTGTGGCTGTCAGATGAGCCTGCTCCTGGCCCTGCCCACCCACCCTCCACTCCCATCCCTGGGCAGGGAGGCCCAAACCTCGTCACAGGCTTGGCAGCGTGGACGCAGGCATTCGGCATGGTGACGCCCGCAGTAGACCTTGCCAGCATGGTAGAAGTAGATGAGGTCAACCAGCAGTTCCCGGCATGTGGTGCACACGAAGCACTGTGGGTGCCAGCAGGCACCCAGGCCTGCACGGCTGGCAAACACTGCAATATCTCCACCTCCAATCTGCTTCCCACACTGCCACGAGACAAGCACCAAGATGGTTACCATTACCGTCACCAAGATGGTCAGATGGATGGGGTCAGCCAAAGTATGTTACACTTGGGCCTTTCCCACGGTGAACCTTTGTGACCAGCCCCACCCACGGGGTAACTTTGACACAGGCCCTGCCTATACCAGGGATGGGGTTGGGCGGTACCTTAGAGACTGACCCTGCTCATGGGGGAAGCCATAGAGACAGGCCCTACCCATGGTGGGTGGCCTTACAGACAAGCCTCCGTCATCAGGGGTGGGGAAGACAGACAGGCCAGGCCTAGTGGGGGAAACCACAGAGACAGTCTCCACCCACCGGGACCTTAGCAATAGATATCACCTAACAGTAGGATCTAAGGACAGGCCCTGCCCACCACTGGGCCCTGCAGACAGGCCCTGCCACTGTGGGTCAGCTCTTGAGGACAAGTTCTGACCACAGGAGGGCCAAAGGGACAGCCCATGCCCCATGTCCACTGCACAGAGGGGGAGAAAAACACACTAGGTCCTCCTTACAGATAAACCCTACACGACAGTGGGATCGATGAGACAGGTTCCCGTCCACCAGCGGTTGCCTTAGAGGCAGTCCCTGCCCAACAGTGAGATGTGAGGAACAGACCCCACCCACAAGAGGGGACCCTAGAGACAGCTCACTGGGGCTTAAGGTGCAGGCCTCATCTTCCTAGTGCTTGGAAGATGTGTCCTGCTCCCCAGGGCTTGGAGCAGAGGCACTGCTCACTCGCTGAGGCCCTCCACGGCTCACCTCCTCACAGATGGCCCCAGTGATGGTCACTGGGAAGATGCGCACGATGCCACGACCCAGATTCTCCCGCTTCCGCTGCTGGCTAAAGGCTCGGAGCTCTTTCTTTTCCTCCTCTTCCAGTGCTGTGCAGTACTGTGCCTGGGAGGGGAAGGCATCTCCCAGGCTCCTCCCTTGATGCCTGTTCCTGCCTCTCTTCCAGACTTCATCCATGTCCCGAAAGTTTACTTCTAGGTCTTTCTATAGATGGTGCCTCCTGCCTGAAGTACCCACCTCTACTTCCAAGGCCCAGCTGTGGTTTTGCCAAGGAATGTCCCCTGATGACCCCTGCCTGTCTGAACCACTCACCTCAGATCAGCTCACCCTTCCTCCTCTGACCCTGCCCTGCACTGGCCCAGGCTATGCCCTGTGCCTGGCATGCCCTTCCTGTCTTCTCTCTCCTCACCTCACTGTCGTGTGGGGGCAGCTGGTGCAGCAGCTGCTTGATCCTGTATTTCTCCCCAGGACTGTTGACGTAGGGGACCTTATCCTCTGGGAGGCAGCTGAAAAACTGATATACCTGGGAGGACACAGGAGTGGGAGAAAACAACTGAAATGAGAGGTGAGTTGGGATACAGTGAGATGGCGGGTCCCTATTTCTCTGAGAAAATGAAAGGCATCAGGAGAGACCTTCGGACTTCCCCATCTCTCCTTCCTAAAGGCAGATCATTTCCCTCAGCTCCCAGCTCCCAAACACGCTGAGGGTTCCTGCATGTCTTGACCTCACTTCCTCCTCCAGCTGCTGATCCACTTTTTTTTTTTTTTTTTTTTTTTTTTTTTTGAGACGGAGTCTCGCTCTTTGCCCAAGCTGGAGTGCAGTGGCATGATCTAGGCTCACTGCAACCTCCGCCTCCTGGGTTCAAGCGATTCTCCTGCCTCAGCCTCCTGAATAGCTGGGATTACAGGCATGAGCCACCACTCCTGGTCTACTGGTACACTTTTCTTTTTCCCTTTACAGGAAAATTCCTCAAAAAGTTATGAGCACTTGTGTTCACTCCACTTCCTCTCCTTCCAATCTCTCTTGAGCCTACTCGAGGCAGGCTTCCGTTCCCATTCCTCTTCCAAAGCTGTCAAGGTCATCGATGACTTCCCCATTGTTAAAATAATAGTTCAGGTCTCAGTCGTCATCAGACTTGATGATGGCAGCACTGCACCAGGCTGACCACTCTCTCTTCCTGGAAACACTTTCTTCCCTTGGCTTCCAGGACACCACACAGTTCAGGTTTTCCTTCCACCTTATTGGCTGCTCCTTCTTTGCCCCTGTTTTGTCTTCTCCTCAACTAGCTGACCCCTAAATGCGGGCGGATCCTAGGACTCAGCTCTTGGTCCTCTTGCCTCTGTCTACATTCAGTTTCTTGGGAATTACACTCAACCTTATGGCTGTAAATATCATTTACTTGGCTAATGTGTCACCTCCAGCCTGTGACACATAATGACAAACACATACGTCCAGCTCTCTAACTTATCCCTTGAGTTCCAGGCAATGTGGCTATTTAGAAGTCTAACAGGCATCTCAAACTCCAGATGACCAGAACTAAACTTATGCTCTTACCCCTTAAACTCGCTCCTGTCTTGGCCTCTCCCACATTAGTTAATCTACCTATCCTCAGAGTCATCTTTCACTCCTCTTTCTCCCACCCCCACAAGCAAATCCTCTGAGCGCTACTTCCAAAATATAGGCTGAGCACCGTGGCTCACACCTGTAATCCCAGCACTTTAGGAGGCCCAGAGGGGAAGATAGCTTGAGCCCAGGAGTCCAAGACCACCCTGGGCAACATGGCAAAACCCCATTTCTACAAAAAATACAAAAATCATCCAGGCGTAGTGATGCATGCCTGTAGTCCCAGCTACTTGGGAGAGAGTGAGACTCTATCTCTCTCTCTCTTTATTGAAACGGAATTTCACTCTTGTTGCCCAGGCTGGAGTGCAATGGCATGATCTGGGCTCCATGCAACCTCCGCCTCCCAGGTTCAAGCAATTCTCCTGCTTCAGCCTCCCGAGTAGCATGCGCCACCACGCCTGGCTAATTGTTTTGTATTTTTAGTAGAGACCAGGTTGTTTCTCCATGTTGGTCAGGCTGGGCTCAAACTCCCGACCTCAGGCGATCTGCCCGCCTCAGCCTCCCAAAGTGGGGGGATTACAGGCGTGAGCCACTGCGCCCGGCCTATTTTTTTTTTTTGAGACAGGGTCTTGCTCTGTTGCCCAGGCTGGAGTGCAGTGGCGCAATCTCAGCTCACTGCAACCTCTGCCTCCTGGGTTCAAGGAATTCTTGTGGCTCAGCCTCCTGAGTAGCTGGGATTACAGGCTTCTGCCATCATGCCAGGCTAATTTTTGTATTTTTAGTAGAGATGGGGTTTCACTATGTTGGCCAGGCTGGTCTCAAACTCCTGACCTCAAGTGATCCACTCGCCTTGGCCTCCCAAAGTGCTGGGATCACAGGTGTGAGCCACCATGCTGGCCTCTCTCTCTCTCTGTCTGTCTCTCTCTCTCCATATATATTTATAACTCCTTTCACTGCCAGCGCCATCATCATCAGGTTCCTCACTGGTCTCCTGATTCCACCCTTATTCTTCCAGGCTGTCCTCTGCTCACAACCCTCTTGTGACTTTCCCTTCATTCACAGGCAAAGTCAAAGTCCTCTCCATAGCCCCTACCACATCTCTGACCTGATCTCCAGCTGGTCTTCCCCTTGCTCACTCTGCTTCAGCAGCACTGGCCTTGCCGTCCCTTACATATGCCAAGCACACTCCTGCCTCAGGACCTTGGCATTAGCTATGCCCTTTGCCTGCGTGAGTCACTGTAACCTTAGGTATCTGCATGGCTCACTTCTCACCTCCTTTCAGGCGGCTCAACCATTACATTCTCACAGAGGCTTATTCTGGGCACCCTATTTACAATTCTAGTGTCTCTCTCCCTCCCTCCCTCCCTGCCTCCCTCTTTCTTCACCCCACATTCCTTGCTTTTTAATTCCATAGCCCTTATACCATCTGACATATATTTACAGGTTTGTTTATTGGGTGTTCCTCCTTTCCAGAATCTACCCTCCACCTGGGCAGATTTTTTTTTTTTTTTTAAAAGAGTATCACTCTGTTGCCCAGGCTGGAGTGCAGTGGGACGATCTCAGCTCACTGCAACCTCTGCTTCCTGGGTTCAAATAATTCTCCTGCCTCAGCCTCCTAAGTAGCTAGGATTACAGGTGTGCACCACCACACCCAGCTAATTTTTGTACTTTTAGTAGAGACGGGGTTTTGCCATGTTGGCCAGACTGGTCTCAAACTCCTGACCTCAAGTAATCCACCCGCATCGGCCTCCCAAAGTGCTGGGATTACAGGCGTGAGCCACCACGCCTGTGGGCAAATATGTTATTTTGTGTTTTGCTCACTGCTGTGTCCTCAGTGCCTATAACAGTGTCTCACATGCAGTAAGTGCCCCATAACTATGTGTTGAATGACTCAATCAATGAAGTCATGTGGTGAATGAAGTGCTGGGAGGGTAGAACAGGGAGTGGGACCAGGCATGGTGGCTTGCTCTTGTAATCTCAGCACTTTGGGAGGCCGAGGCAGGATCACTTGAGCCCAGGAGTTCAACACCAGCCTGGGCAACAAGGGAGACCCTGTCTCTGCAAAAAATTTTAAAAAATAGCCAGTCATGGTGGCATGCGCCTGCAGTCCCAGCTACAAGGGAGGCTGTGGTGGGCAACAGAGTGAGGCCCTGTCTCAAAAACAAACAATCAAAAAGAATAGGATTGGGGTGAACAGGCCCTGAGCGACTGGTCCCTCAGTCACCCAAGGTATGGGGGGCTGATCACTCCTCGATCACAGACGGGCCAGAAGGACCCTCGGTCTGAGTGCACACTCTAGCATAGCCCCAGAAATAGGTTCCCACCTGAGTGTGTGTGTGTGTGTATGTGAGCATTAGTGTGCAACCACTGGACAGCAAGAGTGGAGGGCTGGCCTCTGGTCACCTGCTCCGGCTTAAGGCCTGGGGGCACCCAGGCATACTCCTCCGATGCACAGCCTGAGTCGTCGTCGGAGATGGAGTGGCGCTGGAAGTCCGAGATTAGCCGGCACATGATGCGTTCCAGGTCCACAGGCACCGCGTGCACTGCGTGCTCCTCCCGCGGGCATTTGCAATGCTGGCAGATCTTTCTGAGAGGGCCGGGATGGGGGTCAGTTACTAAAGGGTCGCCCACCTGAACCCCTCGGCAGCCCAGGTCCAACGGAGGAGCCGGGACATGCAGATTATCACCACCAAAGGGCTGTGAGCGGGGACGGGGATCTGGGCCTGGGGGCGGGGCTGCAGGAGGTGGGCCTGTGAGCCAGGGAGTGGCTGGGCTGTGAGCCAGAGGACAGGTCGTGGGGAGTGGGACGCTTTGTGGGGAAACTTTCACTAGACACAGGCATCTAACCTGTGGTGAGGCTCTGAACTTGTGGGCTCTGAGCCTGTGGGTAGGGCCTGAGTCTGGGGGCTGTAGGCGCTGTCTATTGGGTGCAGGGCTCCAGCAGGAGGATAGGACGCTGGGCCTGGGAGAGTAGGTCTGAGTCTAAGAGGGGTGCTGGAGGCCAGTGGGCAGCGCTCAGAGCTAGGGACGAAGAATCTCCCTAGGGATGCAACTCAACGGCTACGGTGGAACTCTTCTAGGGGCGGGGCTGCATAGTGGGTGGAGCCCTCCTGGGAACCGGACTTTTGGGAATGAGTTAGGGGGCGGGGCTCTGAATCTGAGCCTGAGGCTCTTTTCCCAACTGCGATCCCTCTGTAGGCGGAGCTCAAGCGTAGGGGCGTGGCCTAAGCCTCCTGGATTCCCCCCCGAAGGCGGAGCTCTGAAAAAGGCGAGGCCCTTTAGGGGAGCCACTTACCTCCAGCCGTGGAGCAGGAAGCCGGGGCACTGCTCCCTGCAGGAGTTGCAGGGCTGGCCCCGGTCTGGGTCCTCTGCTTCTGGAGGCTGCAGTGGGCGGGAGCAGATGCAGGGCCAGGTGAAGCGCGGAAGCAGGGAAGGAGAAGTCAACGCCCGCCCCTCCACTTCATTGCCCGCGACCGCACGCTGGGGCCTGTCTTACCTGGGCAGCGCTGGGCAGGCTGGGACAGCGCCCAGAGTGCGGGGGAACGGGACACAACCGAGGCAGAGGGGGGGCAGTTGAAGCCACCTCCTTATATGTCCCCTTTTCAGGGAATTCCCCTCCCTAGGCTGGCCTCGAACCCCCCCTTCCCGTCCGCCCCTAGCCTCAGACACCTCCCACCAGCCTTAGATCCTTCCAGGGCTCAAGCATCTCCCCGAGAATTCAGAGTACTCTCCCCACTAGGGCACAGAGCCCCTATTCTGGGCATCCTCTCCCAGGCTTCATCCTGGTTCCCTCTCCATCTACGCCGCCAGCAGCACTCCAGTTCCACAGGGTAGGAGACGAGACCCCATCCTTCCTTGAGATTCCCACGTGAACCCCTGCCCCTCTCTTCACAAGCTCAGGAGCTCCTCCCCCAAACCCTGGCCTCATGCCCTGATACCCAAGGAACTGGGGACCCTTCCCCAGGATCTCAGGAGGTGCCTACTGAGAAACCCCTATCCCAATAAACCCCCATCCCAAGAAACCTTGGCCTTTACCCCGCCTATCCTAGGGCTATTTATTCCTTCTCTGGACCACCAAACCCAGACCCCACATTCCCAGGTCAGAGACCCACTCCAAAGGAAGTGAAAGACCGTCCTGTCTAAGAAGTCAAAAACTCCCTTGCTCAGGCGGAACCCTGGAAGCCTTGTTCCCCCAAATCCCAGTCTCTTGACCGTCAGCATTTCGGCATCCCAGGAGTGTAGGACTCCATCCGTCCGTCCACATTCCTCCAAGGTACTGTGTCCTTTAGAAGCTGAGGAGGTCTGCCGGGCGCGGTGGCTCACGCCTATAATCCCGGCACTTTGGGAGGCCGAGGTGGGCGGATCACCTGAGGTCAGGAGTTCGAGACCAGCCTGACCAACATGGTGAAACCCTGTCTGTACTAAAAATACAAAAATTAGCCAGGCGTTGTGGTGGGCGCCTGTAATCCCAGGTACACGGGAGGCTGAAGCAGGAGAATCGCTTGAACCCAGGAGGCGGAGGTTGCAGTGAGTTGAGATAGTGCCACTGCACTCCAGCCTGGGTGACAGAGAAAGACTCCGTCTCAAAAAAAAAAAAAAAAAAAAAAAAAAGAAGCTCAGGAGGTTCCTGCTCAACCTAAGGCCCCAGGACCCAGTCCTCTGGCCCTCAGGATTCCCTCCCACAATTCACAAGAGAGGGGTCCCCACCAGCTCCCAGGAGTACTGATGAAAGTATGCAGAGAGGTGATTAGGGGGTTTGGGCCACCAGATCTACACCTTCCTCCATCCATTCGCCTCCAGCAGCCCCAGCCCCAGGTCTGGGAATGCAGGGGATGGGATTCCCAGACCCTCTGTGGGGCACCTATTCACTATGCCTATCAATTGCCCCCTCGCCCGGGCCTCAATTTACCCCCGACCCCCACCGCTGCCCTGACTCCCGCTCACCGCACGCCCGGAGCGGCGCCTCCGGGACCCACGCGCGAACATGGCGCGCCCGGGCAGGGTCAAGCCAGGCCGGGTCAAGCGAATGTAATCCTTGGGACCGTCAGGCCACCGCGCGTCCGGCCTGGGAGCTCGGTTCCGTAAACCTGACACCCTCGTGGGAGGAGCGCGCCCCGCAGGGCCCGCCCTTGGGCATGTGGTCTCTCCGCTGCCACGGCGCCCCCTGCCTAAAGGTGAGCTGCACGCAGCCCCGGGTGCCCCGCGCGAAAGGCCCCTGCCCTCCCGCTCCAGGCCAGTGCGGGGCGTCACAAGGCACGACCCCCAGAACCCCGGTATGCCACGTAGCCTCTCACGGGACCTGGGGCTTGAGGGCTCTGTAGTGGAGGATGGGGAGACTCGGAGGTGGCCAACTGGACTGAGAGGGGTGGCGAGCTAGGGTGCTTGTGTTGACATTTTGTGTCGATTTATTTCGGATGCTTATTTGGGAGAGGGGTTAAAGACATCTCTTGGCTCCTCCCCACTGGTGCGGCTCCGAGGGTCTCCTCGATGAATGCTGTAACAACGGCCCCCAACCTCACCCGCGGCCCCAGCTGGTGCTCGCTGGGAACCTGGGAACCTGGCCCTAGCCACTAGAGAGCTAGATCTTATACGCACTCCTCCCTTCTCATTCCCCTCTCAGAGCCAGGCCAGGTTCCAAAGCCGTCCTCCCCTCTCTCCCCTCATCCTTATAAGCCTAGCTGTCCAGCCCCGCTCCCGCCCCCAAGTCCTGAGAAGTACCTCTTAAAGCCTTCCCTCCCCCACCTCCATTTTTCTCTCTCCAGTTATCCCCTTCCCCAGCTCAGTTCCAGGACTGGGAGCCTCTCCTTCGCACTCTCAGGCTTGGCTGTGCCTCAGGGCTGGGAGGAGGGAGTCCCATGGCCTCAGTCAGAACTCGGGCTCCTGGCCCGGGTCTCTAATTAGGCACGGAGGCTGCAGCGGCCAGGCCTTTCATCGCGGGCGCCAGGGACCTCTTCCCGCCCCCCATTACACATGTCCCTGTCACTTCCCGTGGAGTGGAGAGGTAAAAGAGAATAACGAACTAAGGAGTCACCTCGGCGCCCCACCTCCCGGCCTTGCCTAACCGGTCTCCCATTTTTCCAGCCTGGGCTGAGGCAGGGAAAAGAGAGACAGCAGGGTCTGAAGATTAGGGAGGGGGTTAGGCAATGTGAGGTTTCCTTCTATTCGGATCCCTTGGGGATTTGAGGAGAGGGTTCCACGGGGGCTCGGAAGGGGCTTGACTAAGGGACCAGAATTAGAACCAAATCCTAGAAAGACCAGGCATTCGGTGGCTAGTATTGGGAGGGCGAGCAGGGCTATTCAGAGAGTGACAGAGTGATCCGCAGGAGAGGCTTTCTAGAGGATGCCGCTCTGCCTAACACTTTTGAAGGGGCCTGAAATGGTGCAGCAAGCTGAACTGCAGTCGGTAGGTCCGGGGGGAGCTTGTTCTCACAACCTCTCCCTCCTTTCTTCCCTGGCTGACCCCCTCTCCGGCACCCGAAAAAGGCACACTGAGAAACCAGAGCCGGGTAGACTAGGTGGTTAAGGAGTTTATTTGGGAGAGGAGAATCATATTTGTTCTTCCTTGGGGAGGGGGGATTCTTCAAACAATACCGAAGGGTTTGGGAAAGGGTAGGGGTCTGGAGGGGAGAAGGAGGGGCCACAGCCAGACAAAATGGCAACACACGATCACAGGCACTACTGACATCACAGACACAGCAGAGGGTGCAGGATAGGGGCTCCAGACCGGGCCTCCAACCACCCCAGGACGGGTGGAGGTGTGGAGGGAGGGAGGGGGCAGGGGAAGGGGGAAGAGGGGTGGGCCAGCCCCACAGACCCGTTGGTTCTGTCCTCTGATTAACCTAGCTGTTTCATCACAGGAGTGGGGAAGGGTGTGTGTGGTGGGGAGCTTCTCTCTGGATCCCACGCCTCACCCTACAAGCCATATCACTTGGCTCTTCTCAGGCCACTTCCGTCTCAAGCTGTAGCCAGAGCCATTCTCCTCCATCCCTAACAAAACCCATCTGGAAGCTCCTATCCAAGTCCCCTTTCCACTGCCCAAACCCAGCCACTGTAAAACATTTTCTTCACTGCACCATGGGGAGGGGCTGCCCTTTCTGAAACCACCATGGAAGCTCCATTCTAAGCCCCACCCTGTCTAGAACCCTGGTTTGGCCCATTCTTGAATCCCACTTCTTGCCTTGCTCAAGATCTGTCCCCTTTATAATCAAGCTCAGTCTCCCAAATGTTCCAAGCCACACCCTTTCCATAGGCTCTGGTCCCAGTCCAAGACCCACCTACTCTGGAGCCCACCATTCTGCCTCACTCAAAGCCCCGCCCCTTCTAGAACCCTGCCCTCAGCGTCCTTCCAAGCCCCACCCCAGAATGCTCTAGCGCACTCCTCTCCTTCAGACTCCAGATCCACTCTGTCTGGAACCCAGCCTCCCTGCCGACCCCTCCACTCCACAGCTCCTCTCCAAGACCACCTTGGGTCTAAAATGCTCTCTCTACCTGAAGCCCCCCCAATCACTGCCTTTCTCTCACCCTGGAGTTGGATTTCCCTAATGGCCTTTGTTCAGGCAGGCATTGCTGGAGGAACCAAGGTCAGAGCTGGGAGGAGGGGAGGGGGAGAGAAGAGAGAGTCTAAAGCCACACCCACCCTCCCCACACAGCTGAGGTCTGTTCTCTCCCTGTCCTTTCAGATCCCCCTAACCTCAGGGGACAGGGAGGGTAAACAGAGAGGGGCCAAGGGATGCAGGGAAAGGGACAGGGGTAAGAGAGGAGGCCCACTCAAGACTGGGCACCTAGTGCATGAGGGGAGTAGAGTGAGGGCAGGGCTCAGACAGATAAATAGATATTTATATATAATATATATATATATAAACAACAAAGACAGTTAGGGTCTCCTGGCTTGAGGGGTGGAGACCTAGGGTGTAGGGGTGGGAAGGGGGGCAGGCCTTCTCCTGAGCTCTTGCCCCCCCATGGGTCCTCCTGGGCTTCACTGACCTGTAGAGACAAAAGACACAGAAAGGAGAGGGGGTCCGACATGGGTGGCGCCCTCAGATAGGGGTTGGGCTGTTATGCCTTTTTCCTGGCTTTATGTCTTTTCTTCTTTCACTTATATTGCTGGAGACAACTTCATCCCAGCTGCCTCTACTGAGAAGATATACCTGACCTTGCCCCCACTGGGTTAGGTACCAAAGAGATACAGTCTCCCTCCCCCAACCAAAAAAGTAGTCCCTTGACAGGTACTGTTCTAGCCATTTGTGCTAAACTATATTGAGCAAAACAAAGATCCCTGTCTTTGTGCAGCTTATATTGTAGCAGGGGGAGATAGACTTCGCACAGCAAACATGATGCATGAGTGGATTATATCGTATAACACAGGGTGACAATAAGAAATGAAAAAAAAAAAAGTGAGGTGGGCATGGTCGCTCACACTTATAGTCTCAGCTACTTGGGAGGCTGAGGTGGGAGGATTGCCTGAGCCCAGGAGTTCAAGTCTAGCACTCCCAAAGTACTAGGATTACAGGCATGAGCTACCACGCCCAGCCTGCGACAGGGCAGAGTTCTGCACAGGAGGACTGTGGCCTAATTTAGGATTTAACAGAATCCCTCCAGATGCTATGAGTAGAACAGAATGGAAATGGAGACCTGAGAAGAGGTCCGGGAGAGATGACAGTGGAAGATGATGGATATATTTTTTGAAGGTAGGACCAACAGGATTTTTTGATGAATTAGATATGGGATGCCCTTTCCATCCTGGCTAACCCAGTGTCAGAGGCTACCTCCAAGTATTGCCACCTTCTGCCTCCCCCTACTTCACGCCACCCCCTAGCCTTTTCCTTCTGCCTTTCCTCCCCTACATCCTCCCTCCTATCTGAGGGAAATCTCACTTCTCTTTTTCTTTTTCTTTTTTTGAGACAGAGTCTCGCTCTGTCGCCCAGGCTGGAGTGCAGTGGCACAATCTAAACTCACTGGAACCTCCACCTCCCAGATTCAAGCTATTCTCCTGCCTCAGCCTCCAGGGTAGCTGGAACTACAGACGTGCGCCACCACGTCTAAAATTAAAATATTTAATTTTAATATAAAAATTAAAAATAATTTTTATATTTTTAATAGAGACGGGGTTTCACCATGTTGGCCAGGCTAGTCTTGAACTCCTAACCTCAGGTGATCCGCCCACCTTGGCCTCCCAAAATGCTGGGATTACAGGCATGAGCCACCTCGCCTGGCCTCTCTCTTTTCTTATTTCTTTTCTTTCTTTCTTTTTTTTGAGACAGGGTCTCGCTCTGTTGCCAGGCTGGAGTGCAGTGGCAGGATCATAGTTCACGGCAGCCTCAACTTCCTAGGCTCAAGTGATCCTCCCACTTCAGCCTCCCAAGTAGATGGGACAGATGCATGCCACCACGCCCAGCTAATTTTTGT